TATCTTCATTGGAGCCTCGGATACGGGTCATACACGGCGACACACGATGGGCGCTTATGCGTGGGAAAGCCCGATCAGATGCCTTTGTGATGGACGAGCTAGGCTCGTCTATCCATTATCTCACGAGTGAAGACCCGCTTTTCGAATTCGAACGCTTCTGCGAGGCATTCCTTTGTTTATCTCCATGTCTGAGGTCTCCCCCCCACTAGAATGAGCAGGTGAGTCGCCCCCGAATGCTTCATCAAAGTCCTCATCTTCAACATCCGATTTCGCTTCGTCTTCGAGCTTGCTGAGGCCTTTCCTTGAGATATCCAGAATTTCATGGATATTTTCTGGAAGGTCCAATTTCTCTCTCGCAAAATATGGAAGGACACGGAATGCGGCTACCTTATTATGCCACACTGAGCCGTCCATCTCAGCAAGAATATAAGATCCTCCTCTGGATCTCGAGACCACTATCATTGGCCCGAGATACCTGGCCTTCATCTTTCGCATGGCTGAAGCCTTTACAGCCATGTTTCGCACGAGAACTAAATCCCCCGGTAAGAAATTAAATTCCTTTATCTTCGCTCTATGTTCTTCTTCGATGCGTCTCACTCTTCGAATCTTAGCATCAGAAACAACCTTCCGGATGTCTCCTACATGCTGTGTGTGCTTTTCTAGTGCTTGTGCACGCATCCCAATCAGTTCGGTCGTACTTAGTATACGATCAGGTGGTCCTACAAGCCAAGTTGCCTCGATGAGATCAAGTGGAAGTACTGGATGGGCACCAGTCACCATGAAATAAGGTGAGCAGCCTGTACCCTTCCGTACTGTTATTCTATCGGCCCACATTACATGGTGGAAATACCAGAACCACTTATTAGGTTCCCCATTCGTCGCTTTATACAACATCTGATGCACATCCCAGTGCGGTCTTTCAATTGTCCCATTAGCTTGAGAATTATAAGGTGAGATTGTAATACCCTTAATCCCGTATTTATTCTCAATCCACTTCACCGCTTTCTTGAAGGGAGCGCCGTTATCCGTCACAACCTTCGCGAGGCATCCCCATCGACAGATCACGTCTTCAAAGAGCCATAGCGCGATGCTCCGTGCATCTTCCTTTCGCAAAGGTCTACCTTCCATCCAAGAGGAGAGTTCACATCGTCCATGTACAATGTAGTGGTACCCATTCGATGGCGGACTCATGTGAATTGTGTCAGTGTGAAGGACTTGGAATATCGACGGTGTGTATGTCACCGTCGGCGGGATCTCGACTAATGTCTTCTGTCTTAATTGACAGATATGGCATGTTTTCACATACCAGCTAACATCGCGCTCCATCTCTGGCCACCAGAACCGTAGAGATAATAGCTGGTTCATGGCATATGACCCCCTATGGCCAAGGCAATCGTGTCCAGCCTTCATCATATAATTCCTGTATTTCTTATCAACGACCAACTGGTGAGTCGCATTTATTCTCTTCCTGAAGAGCCTACCATCTTCGTCAAGGAAGTAATGGCTAGCTTTTCGCTTTATCTTCAATAGCTGTGCTTCAGTCAGTCCACGGAGGTAAGACGTTGGATTCTCAAGATACTCCTTTATCAGGACTATCTCCTCATCTTGAAGCTTCGCAGTCTCAGTCCGTCGACTTTCATCATACGAATACTTCTCCTCTCGGTCACTAACTGGCTGGTATGTCTTTTCCCAGTCTGGAACGACGAGAGTATCAATGACTAAGGTCAAATATCTCTTTCCTTGCTCAGTGAGTTCCGTCTTCTCTAAAACTTCCCTTGCTACATTCTGCTCAGAGATAGCAGACTCATAAGCTCGGGTCAACTCATCGTCAAAGTCCCAGATGTCTCGGGCAAGTTCCTGCATGAAACCTGTGCGAGTATCAATCTCATTCTGGAATTCTTCGAACTCCAGAGGATCAGGATCATCCAGTGAGTCCTTCACAAGCTCTATGGCTTCGTTATTGTCTTCTGAATCGTCTGTGAATGCCTTTCGCAGTGGATCATCAGGAGAAGGATCTCGTCGTGATAACCCATCAGGCCCAAACATTTTTCCAGCCTTGTGAACCAAGGTAAAGTGGAAATTTGTTCGAATATAGTCTACCCAATGATTAATACATCATGCCTGGATTATTCAACATTCCGAACAGATATTTCGCGTCCGTTTCGACGACCAGGTTTCTGCAGCCTTTCAATAAATATTGATCTTCTTCCAGCACCATCCTAAGCCCACACAGTTCGCGTTTGGGCTGTGAATAGCGCTGCTGACGAGGTGCGAATGGCATCCCGTCGAATTTCACATAGTGAATGACCTTTGGGTTGTTCTTGTCTCTTTGGTAAATATACCATCCAACTCCTTTATACGATGAGTCCACAGCTAACACCAGTGGCATTTCACTCGTGTAGTCCGGGTTTCTTGTCTTGAAGTGCGATTTAATCGCTGCTTTCAAGTTATCCATCGCATTTTGTTGTTCTGGACCCCATACAAATGGAACGTCCTTTTTTGTCAACCCGTATAATGGAGCGGCATGGAAGACGAAGTCTGGTACGTGATTTCGAGTCCTCACACACGTTCCTAAGAAGGCCCTGACAGCAGTCAAGTCCTTACATGGTCCCCAGTTCATTATCGTGTCAATTGTCCCTCGAGAAGGTCTTTGCCCTTCATATCCGCACACATAGCCAACCACTAGGATCTCAGCAGCGCATAGGACTGTCTTATGACCTGAAAATGTGCCTCCTGCATATTTCATGCGCTGTAGGACACGATTCAAAGCCTGGAAGTGCTCCCAGACGAACCTACGAATTCCTGGGTTCTCTGGAATCATTTCATAGGTTCCATCGGGCAGCTTGTATCGTGTCGGCGGTCCTCTCACTGGTACGTCGTCTATGTATGGCTTGGTGTATTCAGGAATCTCATCCTTCAAGATATAAGTTACATCATCATGGAAAATGGGTACAGAGTTCGTCCAACCCATCGGCAAGGTCACCAGTCTCAAGGCACCAAATGGTGTCGAGAATGTCGTTAGGTCTCGAGAGGATTCGGCGAGGAGACGCTCGTCATATCCTACATAAAGATCCAATATTGCCCCGCACGCCCGCCCAACAAAATGGTTTGCGAGCTCTTCTGTAGCAGGAGGTAAGCCTGAGTGTGCAATTGTTATGGCGTTTAGAGGCTCTAAACTATGAACAATTCGCAGGCTCTTCCCGTCTTTCTTTACAACACAAAACCATCGTGAACGGTATGACGAGTTTGAAGGTTCGTAGACTCCTGCATCCATCTTTGTTCTCACTACCTTGCACACTTCCTCCATCATGGCTAAAGGAATCGGGATGTTTTTCAATACCCAAGGTGTGTGTGGCACGGTAGGTATCTCAATTGGAGGAAAGTATTCCTCTTTGAATCTTCCTCGCTCGGAATCATCCCAAGCGAAGGCTTCGTTTTGCTCCATCATAAGATGGTGCATTAACTTCTTTTCCTCTGGTAAGAGGAAGTCGTCTTCGTGTATCTTACTTATCTTTTCCATCCGATCACAGGTATATCATCCAGTAGGTTCAAAATCTGGAGGCCTAGGATTAAGCGCCGGCATCGAAGCCAAGGGATCGCCCTTGATCTCTCGCTTGATGCGGTACTTTTTGGGTAAGTCCCCCAATACCGGCTTCACCTTGACGCCCACAGGTTTGTACTTTTTCCCTGCGAAACATCCCAAGGGATCTGATGGATCCGGATTCTCGCCATCTGACTCATCGAGTTCTCCGACTGTCCATGAGGCAGTTGGGGTTCTTCCTTGGGACTGCTGGAGGTACATCTCGAGTACCTTCTTTTCTTTCTTATCTCCAATCTGATCATCCATCAGGCAATAACTGAGGTACGTTGTCCTCAACTCTTCATTCGAAAACTTCTTATCATCTTTTGGTTGTGTGTATGCTTCGATTTGAACATCTCCGGGTCCTCCATAACTCAAAATGAAGGCACACTCTCCTTGATCTTCAATCAACTCATCGAGCGTCGAAAATTTTGCGATTCGGGTTTCTGGAGGATTGACGGACTTTCTCCTCGAGCATAGGTAGGTACTACACACCTCTCCTTCGTGTTTGGATCGGTGATCGTTATTATCTGACCGCCGTCAGACAAATTCTTGATCTCGCTCTCAGTGAGGACATCAAATGGCCGCCCTAGGAGCACTCGGTATGCAGGTTTTTCCATAACGTGAACTTGCAAGTACATTGTCAGCTGGCCTAGCCGGAACGGTACGTTCTTAGCTAATCCACACGATTTCTCAATCTGACCATTTGCACTCTGCATGTTAATTGTTATGTCTGGGTTCCAAGTGACCTGGGATGCGATCGCCGCATCCTTACTCATGGAAATGATTTGAGATCCTCCATCGAGGAGGGATTCTTCGTGTCTCACCCCATTTATCAACGCACTCACCACCCGCAGTGATTCCGAGTCCGAAGATACGAAAACCTTCTGATCTCGTTCACCCGGAGGTAAGTTTTCCAAGTATTGGGACACTGGGTCATTAACAACCCAAACTTTCTTTGTCCCAGATTCAATATTTATTTCGAGTACCTGTGCCTTCGGTTCTGGTAGCATATGCGCCAGGACTCTCTCGACGCGTACTGAGTTTACGGCCTCAGTGACCGGTTCTTTCAATGTGCTATTCTCCAAGTACTCGGCAATAGCTGCTTGGGTAGCAGGTATTTCAAGAGGGACTCGCTTCTTCGCAAGTCTCTCTTTCCACTTC